TTCAAACCCCCCTTTCTACAAAATATATATATTTTTTTCTTAATTGACATAGACTGCCACGTCAGCCCAAAGATGCCCCGTCATTGACACGTGGAAACGCCACGTCACCACAAAATGCCACGTCACCAGAACAGGCCCGAAATTGGGCCATGTGATTCGAATTGCAAGAAATAAGTAAAGTTGTGTATTAAATTGCTAAATTACAAAGGTGATGATTAAATTGCAAAAGTGCTTTTATATGCAATTTAGCCTATAATATATAACATTGTGTAAATTTAAGCACTTTACCCCCTTAAAATATATTTAATGTAAATAAATCTCACTTCTTTGATAATGCATGGATTACACATGATACCTTTAGCGCCGAGATAGGATGGAGTACAAAAGAACGGCCCCGGTTAGCAGCATCAGGAAGAAGATCGAATGAGAAATAGAGTAGCATCTCAAGCCAGCATAAAAAAGTCTTTCCATCAGATCAGGGCTTTTTTGATTCAACAGCTACATCAAACAATTCATGCTGTATACAGGTTCTAACGTTGGACTCGCATACACAATCCCCGACCGAGACCTAGATGGCAATCTAGTCAGTGAGTGACGCGGCTTTTTCTTCAATTTCTCGTGGAGTCAAATTCTCGTCCGTACGCACCTCTTTCTTTCTTTTCTTTAATAAGTTATATAATATAATAAACTAAGTAAATAAAGTATTCCTTACACCATTACATAAATAATTAAAGTAAACATAATAAAAGATTACAATAAACAAAATCAGGGTTTTCGCACACGATTGATAAGGTGAGGAGTCGAGCAAAGAGGTAGACAGACGAAAAATATTACAGATTTGAGCATTTATTGGATAATTATATTTGTATTTTTATTTACATTTGTTTCTATGATATTATTTATTTGTTCTTTACTTATTTTTGAGTTTTGAACAATATAGATTTAGGGTTTAAATCAAATTGAATGTATGAATAATCTAGATTTGATAATTCGGTCGGGAGTATAAAATTTTCAAGCATAGTTGATAATTTGAACAACATTCTAGAATATTCATTTTTGCTCTTTAAACGTAATAATCTGGCAATGATACTCAAGACATATTATGTTCTACATCTTTTTTAAAAAAAAAATAAGACATTTCTCAAATATTTATCATCTTAATCAAATATCACACGTTTGCAGAAGTATTCAATTGCTTGGGCCTGAACAAGTTTTTGCATCAGTGCATTGCACCTGGTTCTTTAAACATGCAATATTTTCTTGTTGCCTGTTGCAAGGGAATAATTAATTATTCTTACAAAACTTTTTTTTTTCTTAAATTTCAGAATTGCAACTTTATGTCTTTGTTGTTAAATATATGTTTTTATCGAAAAATATTTCTGTCCCCTCAATTCATTTTTCTGGATCCGCACCTAGTTGACAATAGTATGCATTATGTGTAAACTAGGTATGGATTGTGTATAAAGTAACTGTGTACTCCAAACAAGCAGTTGATATGAGATAAATATGTATATACTAATATGTATTTTTTATTAAGCAAATGTGCACTATGCGTGAGGTAAATGTGCACGTGAAATATGGAGTTGTTGATATAAATTAAATATATATTTGGTATAAAACAAATATTCTTTTTGTATAAATTAAATATGCACCAATAATATCAACTAAGTATGCATAGCTCATGAACTGATCATGTACTACGTACAAACTAAATGTGCATTTTTACGAACTAATTAATGTGCAGTCAAAATATACAATTGACAACAATATCATGGAGTGTAACTACTACTAACTATCAAATTATGCATTGTTCATGAACTAAATAGACATTGTGTATGAATATGTTGATTATTTATGGTCATGTTACATCTATTAAATTACAATTTAATATCATTTCTTATTATATCTATTGAATTGTAAATGTATTTTAAAAATTAATAACTTTTGTATTTTTTTATCAATTTTACACATATAATATACAAATTACTCATCTCTTGATGAGTTTCGATTTAACATCCATATTGTATTTATAAAAGGAAAATTAATTATATTTATCTCTATAACAATAATAAAATTATTTTTTAATATTAATTAAAAAAATAAAATTATTTATCGATTAATATATTTATATTTCAAGTAGTTATATGATATAAGTTATAAAAATTATTATAATATAACACATGCAAATCGCACAAGTAACATGTGTCATTCTAAAATATATAATAATATATACTTTTTATAAAATAGTAAATAAAATTTAAAATAATTTTTCTCATTAATTTCAAAATTTAAGAATAATTTTTTTAACAAGCACTCATATAATACACGGTATTGTACTAGTTACATCACGAGGAATACTCACCTACCCACGGTGGGCACATATTAATATGTCCACCGCTTATGTGGCATGTACTCATTGGTGATGTATTTTTTTGAACATATTAATATCACCAATATGTGCATGCCACATAAGAGGTGGGCATATTAGCATGTGCCCACCGAGGGTAGGTGTCCGTTGCATCAGTGCTTTCTTTCATGATTTCTATTCACTGAAGTTTTAAAATAAAATATTTCTACTGCATTGCATATAGGAAAAATTTCAAAACTAGTCCCACAGGTAGAGGGGGTGACATTTTTTGTCCCAACGGAATTAAAAAAATATTAATAGTCCCGCAGTTTTTAAAAAATAATCAAAAGTAGGACTTTTTTCAATTTTCCGGCTCGGAATGCCACGTGGCACACACGTGGCAAAAAGAACTGAGTTTTGAAAGGGATTCTCTATGCGTGTGCCTGTGTTAATTAGCTTATCATATAGCTTGGGTTTTTCTAATTTCAAATTCATAGATGAAAACTGAGTTTTGAATGGTCCGATATTTTATTCATTTGTATCTTGAAACATTGTCAAATGAATTAAATTTTATCTGAAAGCTATACTATTATTTTGACCTTGGAAAAATTAAAACAAAGAACAAAACAGAACAAGCTATTCGTCCTGAAGAATAAAATTTACGCTATATAATCTGTTTAGGCCTCGTTTATTAGATAAGGATACAGATAAGGATACAGATATTCTGTTTACGCTAAGTAAGATTGAGATAAGGATACAGATGACGTATCATAAGTTGGCACACGCATGTATCTTTGTTGGCGGGATAAAATAATCCGACCATTATGGTGTGATAAATATATCATTTGTCTTATATGAACTTTATTTAATTTAAATAATTTTATTTAATTTAAAATAATATATTTAATCTAAAATATTTTTTATTTAATTTACAATAATATTATTTAATCTATAAAATATTAATTTAAATAATATTGTTTAGATTTAAAATGTCGTTTAATATAAAATAATTTAAATAAATTTAAAATAATATTATATAATTTTTTAAAAAATAATTTAATAATTTTATTTAATTTAAAATAATTTTACTTAATTTAAACTAATATTATTTAATCTAAAATAATTTAATTTATTCTATAAAATAGTAATTTAGAAACTTTTATTTATTTAAAATATCTTTCGTATAAATAATTTAATTTTAAATTAAAATAATATTATTTAATTTTGTGAAATATTGAATTAAAATAATATTATTTAATTTAAAAAATATTAAATTAAATAATTTTCTTTAATTTAAAATAATATTATTTAATAATAATTTTATTTAATCTACAAAATATTAATTCAAATAAATTTATTTATTTTAAAAAATTTGAAAAATATTGTTTACTATAAAATAATTTAATTTAATTACAATAACCTTATTTAATTTATAAAATATTAATTTACATATATTTAGTAATTCTAAAAAAATTATTTAATCTAAAATAATTTTATTTAATTTAAAATAATATTATTTAATCTATTATTAATAGATTAATTTAATTAATATTAATTAATCTAATAAATATTGTTTAATATTAATTTTATTTTAGTTAAAATAACATTATTTAATTTATAAAGATATTAATTTAATAAATAAAATCAATAATTTAATGATTTATCATATTTTGTATCCAAAATATGATGTGGCAAATTGAAATGATTAATTTGTCCAATCTCATCATCTCTAGTAAACGAGGCCTTAGAGGATCATAATTTACTAGAGGCCTTAGAGGATCATAAAATGTGAACTGTTATAATTTTTGCCAAAGATAATTTTGACTTATCCTAAGATAAATAAGAAAAAGTGAAACATCTTTTGTTTTAGGTAAAATTGCAATTTTAGTCCTATTGGTTTGATTCAATGTTGTTTTTAGTCCTAAGAATTGAACATTTTTGTTATTTGGTCCTATGATTTTACAATTCGACGCAATTTCAGTCATTTTGGGATTGAAAATACACCAAAATTTAAAATTACGGGACTTAAATTGCGAATAAGAAATCTTTTGGATGGATTTTTAATTAGCAATTTAAGTTATGTAATTTTAAATTTTGTTGCTTTCAGTCTCAAAGGACTGAAATTGCAGCAAAATACTAAATTATATGATCAAAAGACAAAAAAATTAAAATCTTGGGACTAAAAATACATTGTCGTTGAACCAGCTGGACAACTTTGGCCTTGTTTTTATACTACAGATTATCTGCCTATTTCATGTTTTTATTTTTGAAAACCACGCAATCAACTACCAA